CGAATGAAGGAGGCAAATATCATGTCAACCTGCAAAAAAAGTATATAGTTACATTATAAACACTAAGTACTAGTATCTGGAACTGAAAAAAAGAAATTACAGGCGTTGAAATTAAGAGAGCTTAAGTTATCACCCTAAAAAAAAAGTTTAGCTTTTCCTGTACTGACCGGTCTAGTTATCAGAAAAGCGAAAAAAACACGAGCTGATCTTGGGAAAAAAGGTTAGAAAAAGGAAATCGATTAAAAAAAAAGTGTGCAAACCATTATCCCGAAACAAAGCTGAATATTTAAGGCAAAAAAAAGAACTCTTTTTTTAAGAAGTAAACCACAGCATATGAGTATGGTGAAAAAAAAGCAAATAAATGAATGAAGTCCTACCTCATGTTTCACACCGAAAAAAAAAAATTTCTTGTCTTGCTCAGATACAGCTGGTAGATCCACTTCAACATTAAAAAAATTAACACCCTTCTTGCTCCCAAGTTTAGAATCATTCAAAACTTCAAAAAAAAGATAGTTTGAACCTATTTCCCTCACTTTAAGTGAAATCAGTCCATAAAAAAAATATATAATTCCACTTTCCTTCATCACTTTTGTGATGTTTTCATAAAAAAAATAAAGGGTTGTGTTGTCTCCTTCAGCAAAATAAAGCCTTGTCTGTAAAAAAATTTAGGATATCACCTTTGGACAAAGAAATTTCTGCAGTGCCACCCAAAAAAAAAACAAAACAAGACATGTCGGTTATTTAATAAAAAGGGAGGAGAGCAGTTCACTGTTGCTAGCACTACTTTGTACTTGTAGTTTCTCAAGCATGAAGAAAAAAAAGATAAATTCTGTTGTCAAACCAAGTGGCTCACCCAGGTAGAGAGTGCCACTACTCCTCCCTGAATGAGATGCTAGTCCATCGTAAGGTTCCCCCTGACCATTTCATCAGGCTTCCCTGACAATTCCCTGGTACCCAGTCCTACTCCTGGGTGGAGAGAGGCACTGTGACAATTAAGTATCTTTCCCATGAACACAACACAAAAAAAAGGCCAGCTTTTAGACCCAGACTTTTCCGCCAGAGTTCAGCGCACTAAAAAAAAGACTACTGGGTGTCTCTTTCTAGCACACAGCAATGAGAGAGAAGAAAAAAAACCTCCTCCTACTCATCACTACTGCAGTATTTCTTGATAAGAAGCTTTGCTGAAAAATCTGACCTGTTTACATCCATCCATCTCATCTTATTGATGTTTCAAATTTGGATTTTACACGCAATCAGGCCCAGCGTTACATAGATCCTTCGAAAAAAAAGGGCAAAACTTAAAGCAAAGTTTTTTTTCTCTGCTATAAATTTCAAAAAAAGTTCTCGACAGCTATGTAAATATAATCAAGCAACACAAAAGAAATAATTTTCACGCCTCAGTATGAAGTAAATATTTTTCCGTTTCCAGAACTCTTGAAAAAAATTGGTTTATTTAAAGCGCTTCTAAAACGTTTTATTTAATTTGAAAAAAAAAAATTTATTCGAAGGTAACAGTATGAAAAAAATACAAAGACTGTAGTAAAAAAATGGGAAAAACACTTCCGAAGCTTACATTATTTTGAGAAGTCGTTACTTATAAATGTAATTTAAGTTGGGCTGAATTATAATTTGATCGTGCCTTGAGAAAAAAATCGATTAGGGTTTTTAAACTTGAAATAAACTGCGCGAAATAATTTAAAAAAAACTGCGATGTGCTTTTTTAAAATTTGGTTTTACCTGCTTAGCTCAAGAAAAGCCGAATACACGAGGAGAAAGATATTTCTCACCTTAGCTATCGAAGCAGCAGGTGTATTTTCGTAACTAAAATGAATAAATCCCAAAAATCTTTTCATCAAAAAGTTCATGATTTTACTTTGCAGTACATGTCTGGTGCTTTGCAGGACGAAAAAAAATACGAGAATGAGACGATCAGCGTTGTATTAATTAAAACTGCTCAAAAGATAGTTTTAATCTAAAACATAGAATAAAAAAAATCGCTAGTCGGAATTAAAAAAATTTTAATGATTTATTTATTAAACAAAAAACTGCTCCAATTTTAATTTTTAAAGCGCTTTATTTACATGGAGTCGAAATCACACAAGTCTCATTATAAAAAAAAATAAGGGATACCCCAAAAACCGGTATCAGCAAAACAAGTTTACAATAAAAAAATCTGACTTGATCCATCTAAAAGGTTCTGGATGAATTTTCGGAAAGAAAAAAAAATTTCTCTTTTCATAAAATGACAACTTATTGTAATGAAAAAATGAAAAAAATTTTACTCTTGCGGTTGAAAAGGCGTGGCTTTTCATTGATAGTCATTTTGTAGGGTTTTATGCTAGGTTCATTTTCTTTGTGTGTATTCAGTGTCTTAAAAAAATGATTATCGCTTTTGCCAGTTCCGTTATTATCAGTTGTTCCATGGTTAAAGGAGTCGTGACACACAATTACAAGGACATTTAGTGCAGTCCGAATTTAAAAAAACAGGATCCCTTTTTTAGCCAACCACTCAAAGAATTGGCGCACACCAAAAAAAAACACTTATTCCTTTTTTAGCTTGCCACCTCATACTGACCCAAAAAGGAAGACCAGCGTTTGCATGCAAGGTAAATTAGATCGAAACGCATGATTCTAAAAAAAGACATCAGGCATTCATCACTTAGCCACCTTTACAAACGTAATCAAAAAAAAATGGAAAACAATCTTACTCGGTGAACGAGAACGGTTCTCGGTGAACAAAAAAACATTTTCGATGGTCAGGGCTCCGTCTCACAGCTGGGATTTCTTACAAAAAAAGTAGGATACTCATCCATGAAATTTCTTTTGGTATTGTGGTAGTAAAAAAAAATATCAACTTATTGAGTTCTTTCTATCTTTTTCCCTCTTGTATCTGGGGGTGGATGTTGATATGATATTTTAGTAGGTGCCTCATTTGATGATTTTCTAAAAAAAAGATGGGTGCAATTACAATGTCGCGGGTGTAAACGTTTTGTTTCTCTAATCGATCATACTTCTTCTCTACTTTACACTGATTAAATGACTTTATTCTAAAAAAATGTCTCGTCTTCATCTTGGCCAGATTTTTAGAATTTTATTTGGAGAAAAAAAAGCCAAGTTCGAGGAGTCCAAGGTCGAGATTGGAGGTTGGAGACTTTTTTGAAGTTTATTTACAATTTCAGATCTGTCAAACAAGACAAGTACAAGAAAAAAACTTCGCGGAGTTCTTGTAAATTTTGCAAAATTGCACTAAGTTTTTGTTAGGCATATGACACCTATTTTTGAAAAGTCCTGTATCTCTAGATCGTTCAAAAAAAAGAGATTTTTAACCAAGATCATCGACGCAAATACATTTGATTTTCTAAAAAAAGGGCTACAAATAAATAATTCAATTTTCTGTTAATTAACTTTTTTCAAAGATGATCTAAGGTGGTCTCTCAGTGGTTTGAAATTAATATCGTTTTCTTAAAAAAAGCTAGAAAACGTGTCAAGCTCGNTTACCTTTTTTCTATAATTGAAGAAAGTTAGTTAACATTAAGTCTTAAATATCGAGCATCCAAAGGCAGAAAAAAAGGCTATTCATAGCGTCAAAGTAGGATTTTTCATCGATTTGTGCCAGACCTTTCTTTAATTTTTTGGGGGCTGTGTAGAACTCTTGTATCTGCTCTTTGCCAACGAGTACATTTCGTGTTACCAAGAGCCCAAGATTTTGACTACTTTTTAAGTGCATAAATTTTTTCTCAACACTGAATTTACAACATAGACTGTAAACTGCTTCTGTGAGGAGTTTTACAAAATCAGTTGTAGGCGCTAAATCAAAAGCTCGAAAACTGCAACTGCCGTCGAGAAATTTACGTGACAAAACGCCGTTTTGTGATGAATGACGGCCATTCGCATTCTTGACCAATCTTGTATATGAGGTCATTAACTGAAATAGCAAACATTTAACACTCCTAACGGGAACTAAATTTTTCGTTTACAACTTGATATCCTAGTCAACTGTAATATGATATCTAAAAATGCAGAGAAATCCAGACTTTCTGTGGTTTAAAGTTAAGGAATTTTAACACGGGGAATGGTATTTTTCATCGATGGATGGTATATAGTTTATCAAAATATCCAAATTCGCAGCCTCCTAAATGCCGAATTGCATGAAGTTTAGAAAAAAGTCAAGTTAGATATACACGTAAAAAAAAATAATATCGTGCAATACAAAATGATGACAAAAAAAAACTACGCATAAAAGTTTTATCGATTGAACATGGATGGAATTAATGTGTTTGAATAACGATTATTGCGCATTTTTGGCAACAAAAAAACTGCATCGCTAATGTTCTTGGATGGTAGCAGATGATGGAGTTTATGCGCAGAATTAGATACGACTGAGTAAAGAGTTTAAATCAGTGATCTTTGCGCTTGTCTTTCAATGATCTGATTTCATACATGCAATACTAGATTGTCATGATACATACATATGATATGAAAGGCTAGGAGAAATTACGGAAAGTATGCGTTTCTGAACACGCTATAGGTCTTCGCTTAATAAGCAGGCAATGCATGGTGATATAAGAGCGCGCCATACCTTGGCATCAGCCTAAAGCAGTTAAGATAGGAACAGGTAATATCATGGCTCGGAACATGTTCTCGCTTCAGCAAGATCAAGAAACTAGGCGCTTATTGGCATTTTGAAAGTTATTCAATTGTCATAGAACGAATGGTGACACATCATTTATCCTTCAAAAATATTGATCGTTCGAAAGACAGAAACAGATGTGAAGATTAGAAATTCCTTACATGAAATCAGTCGCACTCCTTAAGAACAAAAAATCCTGTCTTGTTCATAGTTTTGACGGCTACACTCTCGACATCAAAAGGAGCTATGTCCACAGGGCCGTACCCAACATATTCTACTGAATATATCTCTACACAAACATTTGCACCAGCCTCCTGTTATATATCCCTTGATGGGAAGGAAGGCAGTTTCGAAGATAAAATTACCATGGCATCAACCGATGGACCGCTTACTATTAGTATACCTACAACAAGGCCGCCTCAGTCCGCTACGGCTATTACAGTAAACATAGCCACAGGAATACCTGCAACTGCGACCGCAACTGAACACACAGATACACCCACACCCACAGCCACAACTTCACCAGCGGTTGCACCCACTTGCGTTGATTACAAGCAATGGCTTATCACTGTTCCGAAAGGACACTACGTCGAGATGACCATCAAGAATATGAATCTTCGACCGTGGGCATGTTTGTTCGAGACATACGTCATGGTCAAAGATGGGCATTCTTTGTCGAGTAATGTTCTCAGAATTCTTTGTGAAGCGATCACTACAAATCACCGCATAGCGTCTAGTGGCAATAAAATGATCGTGGAGAGATACGGAAAATTGGGTTTTAGTGAAAGTGCGGGATTTAAGGCCAACTTCCAGGCAAAACCTTTAAAAAGTGGAGGTGAGCGTATGTTTTTTTTTTCAATGGTTAATAGTCACTTGTACAATTTGGTTAAACAGCAATCAACCTTGGGATAAAATCTTTCAAAGATTGCGTGAATTGATTATTATTCCTGTCTTTTTCTCAACAGATCCTCCTAAATTTCGGGTGCCTAAGGAAAATGTGGCTTTGTTAGAGGAGTATTACCCGCCGCAAAGATTGCTCTGCCAAGCGGGTGGCTCACCTGCTCCCATAATTACGTGGTATAAAAACGGAAAAGTTCTAGAACAAAATATCACAAGTGTACTGTATAAACCGGAATGGGATTCGCAATCAGGAAATTACACCTGCATAGCAAGTAATTTTAACGGCTCGGATACGAAAACTCTCCTGGTTCATACTGAGAGTGAGTATTTGTTGTTCTTATTGAACGTGCAAAATAAGTTAAAGATGCTAATTGTATATTAGCCAAGATAAACGTGGTCAATACTTTGGAAAACCTCCCTCCTTCACACAAAAAAAGTCCATTTTTTTTGCGGTATGAATTTTTTCCATCGACTTTGTTCCCTTGTCGACTCTTACCTGAGGTCTTTTTATAGCCAAGGGCCCAAACCCTCTAAAGCAAGCCACGTGTGGAAACATAATATGTGGGAGGAAGTATTAAGGCAATCGTGCCTGAAATTAGAGTCTTGCTGCAGATGGTGATCTCGAATTTTTATGAAGTAGCATTATCCAGTCTGTAGAAACGTACAGATTAAAAATGACTTCTTCAGCCACCGGAACACCAAAATGCTATAGTCCCACCCAATTTATCATCTGAGAAAGGACATACAGAATATTTCATGGAGAGTCTGTTCGTATGGTATTTACGCACACGTTGGTATTATCAGAAATCTGATACAAACCGACAAGTGTAGGCTCCTGATTGGACTATCGTTTTTCCCGCACGTGCAAAATGCGATAAGCAGATTGGCTCCCAACTTCTTCGACCAACTTGTGAATGAAACTATATTTCGCGCCTTTTCAGCGTGTAAATCTCTCTCTGTAGGTAATTCAAAATAATCCCTTATAAAGTAAATGTTATCTCCTTGACGCATTGCCGAGTGGATTGCAAAAACATATTATCAAGTCTGTAAATTTTCTTTCTTTCATCACCTTATTGCTTTTCCTTTGCAGAATGCTCAAGCATCAGTTTCTCCTGTACTAAACTGAAATCACATCCATTCTGGTTTCGAGTTGATTGTTGGAATTTCTACAAAGGAACAGTTCCGAGGGACATTCCTCTCGCTACAAAATATTTGTAAGTTAGGCCCTGTTTACAAGCAGGTAGGGTAACCCTAGTGCTAGGGTTACCCTGGCAGGAGGGTTACCCTAACGCTCCCACATTTCTTCTTTTTTTCATCGACGTGTTTACAAGGCAGCTAGGGCTACCCTAGCACTAGGGTAGCCCTAGCTGAGCGCTAGGGTAACCCTAGCTGCCTTGTAAACGCTCTGGTGGAGATAACTCGCCTACCAGGGACAACTTTTTACTTGTTTCCAGACCCTTTGAACATTGATAACAATGCGTGTTGGTTACCAAGGATAGGTAAGTTGTCCCGGGTGGTAGCTAAGGGTAGCCCTATCTGTGAAAGTTTGCTTGTAAACCCGGGCTATCTTTGACCCGCCTGCTAGGGTAACCCTAGCACAAGGGTTACCCTCCTTGCTTGCAAACAGGGCCTTAGTATACTTTAACGTGTGATCCAAGATTTGAGAGCTAAAAATGATCATGACAGTTTTATTAGTGTGGTGTCTATCGTGCCATTTGCCCATAACTTTACTTTTGGGGGCGCCACGTTGGTGCACGTGCTCTTGAGAAATTCGGCGGCGCGTGATTATAAGAAATATGTCGTGTCTGCTGGAGTATTTAAGTTACGTGTCGATTAACCTTTGTTTATTTTGTGGGACGCAAAGCTCTCGAAAGAGATAAGGTTTGCTTGGATTTATGTGTTTGAAGAGGTTCTTGGCTCTTAGAGGATTTCTAAGTTCAATTTGTTCGCGTATTGTTATGGATAATATTAAATAGGAAGTGTCAACAGCATTTTTTTTGTAATCGACATTTTCCCTTTAATTATAGGTTTTTTGCCAGGACCAATCTGTGGCATATTTATCCTAAGTCGTTTGAAAACTTAACTAACCTGCAATACTTGTAAGTATAACCTGATTGAATGCAGATTCGATATCAATCAAATTATTTGCATTTTAGATTTTAAATATTTGAACAACTAAAGATAGTAACATTTATGATGTCTTAATGTGTATATTTTCCTGTTCTTTTGTCACAGATCGATTACGCGTAATTTGAAACTGGTTAAATTGACGAGAAATGCCTTCGGAGGACTCAAGCAACTTGAGTATTTGTAAGCAGAAGAGAACAAATATTATCACAACGAAAACTATTTTAGGCCTAAAATAGCAATAATGGTAGTTATGAATCACAGTAAGAAGGAATAATTGCAAATATTTACAAATATTGTGAGTTGTACCGCTGTTAAAAGTTAAAATTAGCATTGTAAATATGCGTTATTGACCTGACGTGAGGTCAAGATGGCTGGATAACCGCCAAGTTAATTTTTGTATGTGTGTCTTCATGGACCGAGACGAAATTGAGGTCCATAAAAACGCAAAAAAAGAACGAAGCTAATATCCAGGCATCTTGACCGAATAAGCTTGGTCAATAAAGGATTTAATACATGGCAAAAATATTTCACTTATAAAGAAACACTTGTTTATTTCGAGTGCTGGGAAAGAAAACCGACCATGTTTGTAGCAAAGTAAACCCACGAGGGCCGTTTATGCTTTCTTCGTTTTCTGCCGCTTTTTGCCACTCCATCGCTGACACTTCCCAAAAATTATGAACTTTGTAAGTCCCCTCCACGTAATGTTTTCCTTGCTCGGAATCAAAGCGGACAATCCCGAGCTGGCAAGATGGGCCCATCTTGCCCACTCTGATGGCCAATCGGAACACAAGATTCGCTTTGTATTGCCAACAGCGCTCCCAGCGATATGATAAATAAGGTTATTAATATCTTTTTGAATGTATTTGTGTAATTTATGCTTGTGATAGGAGTAATTTTTTCAATCAAAAGCGATGTTATATAAATATTCAAGTAGGGAAAAAAGGAAATTTTTGCAACCGCTCGGGTGATAGATTTTATCAATCCGTCATCATGCCTTTTGTAGTACAGAAAATAGTATCTCCCGAGGCCATACCTATGTTATTTTCCTTTTGAAGTGTGTGCTATGCTAACGTGTGAATGAATTTGTGAAATACAGAGAAATTAATAATCATAATTCATTGGATATCGAAGAGGGAACTTTCAATGATCTGACATCTCTGGAATTTCTGTAAGTATCAAAGCGACAAAGTAAACAACTGGTTCTCCCACCCTTTTCCTTCCCCTTCCTCCCCCTCCCCCCTTCCCCCTATTTAACGTTTCCTCCTCCCTATTTAACTTGGGTAAATTAAAGAGAGAAGGGTAACTCACTTGGAATAAGACAAGCTGCCTACCTCTATGCGACAATGTGATATCTCGTTATATTACCATGAAAGTAACTTTGGAAAGTGTCCTAGTCTTTATGCTTGCACCGTCTTGCTTCACGCGCAATTATCTTTTGGACTGAAATAATATGAGATTCTCCAAATCATTTTTGCCAGGATATTTCACAAAAACCGTTCTGCGACTAACAATACCTACTTGTTATGTGGTCACCCTCTTCTGAGCATCGATTTGAGCAGTATTTAACAACAAAAGAGAATTTTGGAACCTTCATTGATATTTAGAAATTTAGCTTTCCTTTATTTCTAAAGGCAAATTAATATCTTTCAGCTTTCTGAAAAGCAATGGGATAAGTTTACTACGACCGAACGTCTTCACCGGTCTTTCGCATCTTCGAGAACTGTGAGTAGATATGCAGTAATGTTGTCCTTCGCTGGTACAAATTCGTGATGGGTGCTGGGCTTTCTCCTTTTCCTCCTATCCATGTAGTTCAAAAAGCCTCCCTCTTACTTAAAATTGAATAAATAAGGATAACATTCCAACGCATAAAAACTGATGACAGGAATTTTTCTAATTTAAGTTAAAATGACATTATATTCGGGTAACGACCATGATATATAGATAATCGCTCTCAGAGGACTGGAGAATAGAGATTACCAGCAGACGTTGCATGAAATTTGTGGATTTCTGTGATTGACAATGTAGGGTGGTTGAGCGATAACAAAAAAACAATAACGATGACGATGATGATGACGTTGATAAAGGCAGCGAAAGCGATGATAATTAATCTTTTAGTTTGTTATGAGGACAAAAAAAGTCCTAAAATGAGGGGGATGGCCGTTTGTGGGATCTCAGTGTCCCCAAAAATACCACTACTAATAAGTCATTGTAACTAAGAAATAAATTAAGAATGAGTTACCATGAGGTGATTAAACGTACATTTTTTCAGGTTTTTAACTGGAAACTACCTGAGGGAAATTTCAATTGAAATGTACTCTCTAGAAAAACTGTAAGAGATGAAATATTAGTAAATTCTTTTTCAATCTATTTAATATCTTCCTCGTTAAGCCTAAGAAAACAACGATTTAAGTAATTGTAAGACTAGATAGGGTAAAATGCAGTTTAGAAATAATTCAGTTCTTCACTGGTTTTGTTAACGAAAGAACGAAGTGTGCTGACTCAAGTATCTCTGATCTCTACAATAAAAGTTCTGAACAAGCATTCTTAATCTTTTTTTGAAATATTTTTCTCTTGTTTCATTCATGTAGTTACTGATCTTTTCTAGTAATAATTAGATTTCAATGAATAATCTCCCTTCAATTATAAATAATTTGTGTGATATGTAGTCTGATCTCTATTACGTTTCCACGTCGTTTTGCAGTTTGGCTCACGACATTGCGACTTAAGAGTTTCTTTCTTCCATAGGAAACCAAAAACGTAACCTTACCATTGTTGTTATTCCTATAAACAGGGATCTTTCATCCAATCAGTTATCATACCTGGATGAAAAAAGCTTTCGTGGTACAAGAAACTTTACAAAACTTATGTAAGTGAAGGGCTCGTGACATGATCGTAATCAATAATGATCAAGCATCCTTTTATTTTCATTTTGGGACGCTGTGGAAAAGTAACTCAGCATATCACGCTGACTGGGAGGTGCCGAAAAACGGAACTGTGAAAGAGCATCTACTACCACTCTACTGATGACCTCTCTTCTATCGTTGTTCTTTCTTTGTGCCTGCACTCTTACTGAAACTTTTCAGTTAGAGTGCTAGATTCAGTTATAGGTACAGCCTATCGCTAAGTTCGAAAAAGGGGGAAAAAAAAGAAAAAAGTGATGATTCTAGAGGCTATATAATTTGAGCTTTCATGGAGGTTTTCTGAAATCAAATTCATCAGAATACTCAGTTGGGTTTCGGCGAATGTAATGAAAAATACCACTTTTGGTTTGAATCTTTTCCATGTGGGTATATTAGCAAAGGTAATAACATGAATTCGAGTGCAATTTGGTGTTAATAAGCACGAGTGGATTTTTCAAAGGTGAAAGAATTTCACGAGCCCTTTGGGCGTTTGCAATTTATATTACAGTCTTTGAAAACTTTTGAAGTACATATTTGCACCAAATTGTGGGAGACATCATTTTGTAACCTATTAACAAGTTACATGAAAAAAGCATCAAAGAAACGTCAAGACGACAACATTTTGACAGCGCGCGGGCTATTTGTAATTTGTCGTGTTACAATTTGGACCCGTGATATATGCAAAAATACATTATTTTTCAGCCAATCTAAAGCACGTTATCATTTCATGTACACTATTATCGAGAAAAAAACAAGAGTGTTCGTGAGACAGCTGAAAAGTGCTTTTAAACTCCCTAATAATTATGAGTTTATCGCCTCATTACAGCTGGCATGTATGTACGTGATTGAGTTGGTGTTGTTGTTGTTGTTCTTTTGCTAGGTACCTGAGGGGGAATCAGATTAATAGAATAGCGGAGAGTACGTTTGAGAAATTCTTCTCCCTAGAGGAACTGTGAGTTTGCAATTTATGCCAAGTATTAGGCGTTTTAATTGCAGGTAACTTTTTATTTTTCCCGGGTTTTGAGGCATTTTGGCATGGTGAAGCTTGTAAGCAGTCTTTTGCGCCTTATCGCCATCTATGTCTTCGTTGAAATACTCTCGCTATAATCTCGAGAGATAAATACTATTGTAGTGGTAGCCACTTGGAGTAATGTTAATACCTATCTAAAGCAATAGACAACACTTATGGATGTTTGTAGAATTCGAGGCAGTGGCGGTTGACTTACAAAATGCTCGATCAAGTGTATTTCACCACCTAAATTGGATTATTGCGCAAGTGAACCCATGGAAATGGAATCACATTGCTTTTGTAACGCGGCCATATGGGTTCGCCAGTACAATTAAAGATAGAATGTTTGCCACCCAAAGGCGCGATAATCTCTGATTTTTTTTCCCCAAAAAACTGTGAAAATAACGTCAAATTTATTTTACTATTATGTAAACTGTGTAAAAATACGGGTTACCCCAAGTTTGATAAATAGTAATAATTATATTTTTCCATAGCCATCTTTCCTCCAATGAGTTAGGCAACCTTCCACCGAATTTATTTCAAGACCTGTCGGAGCTGCGAGTTCTGTAAGTACCCCATGTTTGACATCCTCAATATCCTTCAAGTTGCACGAATGAAGCGAAATACGCATCATTGCAATTAAGAAATTAAGGCGTGAGAACGAGGCTAAGTGCAAAGTCGCTCTTTATGGCGAGAAAAATATAAAATGCCGTTGAATCGAAAAAATGGATGTTTCGAAGGAGAAAGCAGCACTGAGCGAAGATTTTTCGAAATCAAACGTGGTTGGGTTAAAAAATCTTTTGTGAGAAGGAGGCATTCAGGTACATGATGTGGGTAATATAATTAAAGGAAAAAGAAAGGTACAAAAGTGCCCGATTTCTGCTTTTGGCACGAGATCACTGACGCATAATAATTCGGAAATGAGCTATTTAATCACCCAGAAAATACCCTTTAAGACTTTCTCATAAAGTGAGTAATTTATTCAAATGTAATTGGTAAGGTAACTATTACAAGGGAGCGACTCCTAAACGATGCAATCTACTATAAAGTTAACTTGGGATCAAAACTGACAATACTTCAGTTACCACTGATACAAAATCTCTACGTACCAAAACTCTTAATTGTAGGAAAGCTTCACTAGTCGTCCACAATGATTTACTAACATTCCCCAAAGTAGAGACAGATAGTCCAACTCCTTATAAACAGTTGTGGAGCATTCTAGGCGATTCCGGAAGCTTAAAAATAGCTATTCTTGTAGCTTTAAAACAATATTGTTTCCCTCAATAGGATGTTCCAGAGAGTTCTAAACCTGTACTTGAGAATGCCCCAGCATCCACATTGCATGACCAAGCTTCCTATAAACTTCCAGAACCTCCATCTTTTATAGTTTCGCTACCAGTCATACAATAACGTTATCATGTGAGCTTGGGGAAGCACTTTATATCTGTTGATTACCAGGGTCATAAACTACGCGGGACGTTCGAAGATCACGAGAAAAAAAACCTATGACCAAAGAAACGACTACAGAAGGTAGCAATGAAATGAGTCAAAACTGGAGCCGTCTATAGTGCGCTAAATTGATATGAAAGTTTGCATGAGCGGACTTTTAAAACAGTTTTTGTTGCATGTGATGATGACTATGCACCAAAGTACAGGTTTATCCCATTTCTGCTATGGTACCGGTTTAATTTGCGTGTGATTTTGTGCGAAGTCTCACCTGCATCGTTATCAGACAGAGTTCTATACATCATGAAGGTGTTAATTAAACAAAACGCAGACCCAAAGGCAATTTCCTGTTCTGTACATTGCTATGTTTATCCAAGAAACGTACACAATATGAATTATATATGCCAGACCACTAGCAGTCTAAATCCCACACGGATCACCGAACGCTTTTCATTCCACTAATTTATTCGTGGTTTTCTCGTTGCCATGTTCCCACCAATAACGTAGCTCCATTTTCTGCATTTAAAAGCACACGCAACCCACAATTCCTCAATTCGCTCCGACGAAGGGCTAAAGCTCGAAATGTCAGCTTTTGTAATCGTTACGTTGGCCAATTTACCATTTCAATTTTGTTGATATATCCAAATTATTTCGTTACCCCCACCGACGCAGCCCCAAACAGTTTCTTTAAAAACTATCAGCCTTTATTTATATGTTTCATGTACGTTAGTGAAAATATTCAAATATTCCAGCGACCATATATACCTATGATCAGGGAGCAGGACGCTTCTAACTTCTATCAGCAATTAGTTCGTTTTCAGTAGACTGACTTGTTTATGAGTTGCTTCCTTGAAGTACAAACCATACTGATAGGATGCTTAAATGAATAAACTGGTTTTATGATAGTTTTACGGGGTATTTCTCTGTTGTTTGATGATACGGTAACACCTCAAAAGTTAATGATTTAGAACAG